ACCTGTCAGATTCAGGAATGAAGCTGCTGTCTGCTGGACTGAAGAATCCAAACTGTAGTGTGGAGAATCTAGGGTCAGTTCATGTATTCTGCTCTTGCCTAGTGTATATCTACCAGTAACACCCCCCCCCCCCCCCCCCCAAACACATACAGGAGCGTGAAGCATGTGTAGGTGATTGGATTCTAAAATGAACTTTTATTTCCATATTTTATTTATTCAGATTGAGTCGCTGCAGTTTGTCAGAGATCAGCTGTGCTTCTCTGGCCTCAGCTCTGAAGTCCAACCCCTCCTATTTGAGAGAGCTGGATCTGGGTGACAACAAGCTGCAGGACTCAGGAGTGAAGCTGCTGTGTGATTTTCTGGAGAGTCACACTGTAGACTGGAGACTTTGGGGTCTGTTCACAGACTCTCTTTTACTATTGTAGATCTTACATGTTTTATTTACAATTGAACCTAACCCATGTTCATACATAACTTAAATCTATAAAGTTGTAAACTTCCTTTTCTTCACATTTTCATGTTTCTTGAACTAAATTTAGTCTGCAGTCACAAAAGACTGTGTCGGCTGTTATGTTAAAGTAATGTTCATAAATTTTACTATCCTCTGAACTAAAGTTTGTTTTAAATTGAGTTTATTTCCGGTAGTAGAATTGAATAATATTGTATTCTTTTGATTTTTCTTAACTTCAGTGTATCTTCAAAATATTGTATTAATGTTGGCCACCCTGTGATGGACTGGCGACCTGTCCAGGGTGAACCCCGCCTTTCGTTCGATGTAAGCTGGGATTGGCTCCAGCCCCCCGCGACCCTGTATGCAGGATAAGCAGTTGACAATGGAAGGATGGATGGATGTTGTGCCCACATTTGCCACTATAACAACAACAATGACAAAGTCACTCTACTGATTTTAGGAAAAAGCTTTTTGATTGTAATGTTGAGCTACATATTTAAAACCTTATTTTTATCTGCATAATTTATTCTTTATTCAGACTGAGCGGCTGCAGTTTGTCAGAGATCAGCTGTGCTTCTCTGGCCTCAGCTCTGAAGTCCAACCCCTCCCATCTGAAAGTGCTGAGGATGAATGAAAACAAGCTGCAGGATTCAGGAGTGAAGCTGCTGTGTGATTTTCTGGAGAGTCCACACTGTAGACTGGAGACTCTGAGGTCAGACACCATTTTTACTTCTGTACTGAGATTAATATGATGTGATTTCATTACTCTGCTATTCCTAAAAGAAATATTGTATATGTATTTTGTTTACATTTCCCCAAATTTCATCCTGACATATCTGGCATATCTGGCTGCTAAAATCACTCCGCTAAGCCCCACCCACCAAAAACCCACAGGATACACTTCTAAACTTCAGCCTACGTAGGCCTCGCTCGCTCTTCACGGTGGGAGGCTCGCCAAGACTCTGGTCCCTCTCACCCAGACTCATCCTCTTAAAGACGCACCTCCAACGCTTCGCAACATCTATAAGAGTATAAGAGGGCTAGTACTGCCTCCTCCATCAAAAATTATGACTGTTTGTCATCGTGCCTCTTTGCCACTCGTTGATGCGAGCGCCATGGCATTGAACATAATGAGCACGAAGCTCCATGTGGAGCTGGGACATGTTCCCGCATGTGTTTTGTACTACACACTGTTTTTGGAGGAGGAGGCACGGCAGAGTTTTCATTGCTGCTGCTATTGTGTTTGCAAAGCATTTGACACCGATCTAAAGATATTGAGCTTCACTGAATGAGAGCATGCACGAGGAGGAGGGCTGCACAGTGTAACCAAGTAGTTGTAGCGCCTAACCTTTACTGTTGCTGTTTCAAAATGGCAATATTTCGCAACGCTAACGTTCTACTATGAAAGTCTAACCGGACATTGGATATTTATTATTGCTAACTTGATCTTGAAGCCCTAAATGTTAAAAAACTATGCTAGAAGGCAACTAGGGCGTTAAAAAGCAACTCCATGGGGTCTTACCAAGCATCCATATGTGATGAGTCTAAGTTGTAGGCTTTCCTTAATCAATTAAACAATCGGCTGCTCCCTTGTTATTGCCTTAATAAATATTTTTGTTGTAAAGATTATATTCATAGATACTTTGGGAATAATCAGATTGAAACCAAACCAATAGCACTGGGTACCTGTGCTGTTGGAGAAGGCAGATCTTATGCAGTGACCTTCATAACTCAGCAAGTGGTTTGGTTGGCTACATGTCCATATTAAAAGGTAGCAAAACAATAGTAGGCTGCAGCAAGCAAGTGTGATATTTTAAACTGACCCTATCATGTAGATTAAATGTTTTTAAATAATTTTATTAAACAGAAATTTGTAAATTCAACCCGTTCTCCCTTCCAACTCGTCACATATGGACGCAGGATCAAGACCCGTTGGCCTCAGTTTATAATGCACTGGGGATCCCTATAGCGTCATAGTTCAGCAAAGTCAGGGAAGCCCTGTAGCATAACTTTTGGACGAAACAGGTAGATGCATGATATTTAACAGAAAAGACCAGGTAAGGAGATGTTGGCGTGGATGGAGGGCCAGAATCAGGACTTTCAACCAGGAGATGGTTTTTGTTTGCACTGTGAAACAAAAAGTCAACATTAAATATTCTTATTTAAGTTAGGTAGGTTATGTAAATTGCATAAGTTACGCAAGTAACGTTACTTAACTTATGTGTTTACTGACGTGCATAGTTATTTTAACCCAAACCATGGCAACATTCACAATTTTAACAACACCAACATTTTATTGTAAAGGTCTAACCGGATGTTGCATTTTTATTGTTGCTAACCATTGCTAACATGGCCGTGGAGCCGTAAACGCCAAAAAATGACCTTAAAAGGAGTACTCAGGGTGTTAAAAAGCGATGCCAAAGGGCATTGACCAAGCATCCATATGTGAAGAGTCAGGAATGAGAAGGTGTTGTCAAATTAGAGATAATCAACAAGAAAAGCCATTTCCTAGAAATAACTGAAACACACAGATGAAACACTTCGCTAGGGCCCTAAATCCAGAATTTGTTAAAAATAAATGGAATCAGCTGTTAAATGCAGAATATCGTTTAATCTGCCAAAATGTGGTTGTAATTAATAAAAATCCAGGTTTTCCCCTGCGTTATAGTCATCTTGTTCATGGCACTTAAGCCACAAAACAATAAAAAAACTACACAGCTATGTTTTGGTTTCATTCACGAGAACCCTGTTTCTCTCCTCTGCTCTCTGTCTCGCTGTATCGGTTTCCCCGAGGACAGGCACACAAACAAATGCTATCATATCAAAGTCAGCGAGCTAGCTAGAGCTTTTCATTTTAACAAACTCTCAAAAGTGCAACCACGCCGGCAGAAACGGACCAGAGCTCGTTGAACACTTAGTCGCTGTGTTGGCGGAGTCAGAAATTCTGTTGATTCGCGTCGAGCAGCATATGGAGGCTGTCCTGCAGAAGATCCATGGGAAAAATTGATCATGTAACAAATTATTTAATACGAGACAAATCACGGTACAAGTTTTGCAACAATACGCTAATTTTGAATTTTGTCAATAATTTCACATAGGCCTACATTTTGATATGCACATTTGGTTTGATTGTCGAATTCATTATATTGATTACATTTGTAACATTTTGTTATTGAGTTGTTAAATTGTATTCATTCACCACATGATTACAGACTCTTCCTGATGACAAAATGTGCTTACATTTTAACCTTTTCTGCAGTGTTTTTTTTATTTGAGTTCTTTTACTTGAGAAAAGATCTTAATAACACAGCGCCCCAGTGCTACCACTGACATGAGTGAACATGAGACACAGCAGAGATGAGGGCAATAGCAAAACAGAGTCAAAGCCAGCACAGTGAGAGAAAAATGGGGTTTGTGAGGGTGGGACTGCGGGATTTTGGCCTGACCCCGCTGCTGTAAAAAATCATAGAGAAACACTGATTGTCTTCTGAAGTTACATCATTTATTCTTTATGCAGATTGTGGGGCTGCAGTTTGTCAGAGATCAGCTGTGCTTCTCTGGCCTCAGCTCTGAAGTCCAACCCTTCCCATCTGAGAGAGCTGGAGCTAGGTGACAACAAGCTACAGGATTCAGGATTGAAGCTGCTGTGCGGTTTTCTGGAGAGTCCACACTGTAGACTGGAGAGGCTGAGGTCAGTCACCATGTTTTACATCTGTGCTTAGATTAACATGATGGGAAAGTTGTGGTGACACTAAATTGCAGACACACACATAATACTGATTGCTACAAACCTGGCTCTGGCTTTAACAAAAGGGAAGCCACACACACACAGAAGTTTAAAAAGCTAAATGTATTTAGTTAATAATAAAATAAGGTGAAGTGGAGAGATATGGAGAAGTATTTGTGTGAGTATTGTAACAGAGCCAAACCCAAACTAAAGAGGGATGAAGGGCATGAGGATATGCTGAGACTTCACATCAAGAGAGATCCACCTGGGGGAGCAGCACTTTAGTGCCTTTGGCCCCTCAAACAAACAACAGTTGTATTAAGATTAAGGAATGATATTGAGGGAAAGTGTGTGTTTAATAATATAACGAAACAGAAACCATTTGTGAATAAAAAAAGGCTATGATGTTAGCTCCTGATAATGAAGGGTACACAACTTGGCTGCTAACAACAACAGCTAACTAATGTAAAAATAATAAAATAAAATAAACATTGACGTCTTTCTGCAGAGAGAGAGGTGATTCACTACGTCTATATTAAAGTAGCAGGATGTTGTCATTAATATTCATGAGATCTTTTTACCTTTTTTTATTTTACAGTTTTAACCTGAATCCTGTTGGGTCAGGTGTTTGGAGCTTCCATTTTCTAAACTTCTACTTTCTAAACCTTCAGCTCTGAACAGATTATTAAACACTGAATGATTTCAAGCAGGGATTTTGTTTTTTAAAATTACATCATTGATTATTTATTTAGATTGTGGGGCTGCAGTTTGTCAGAGATCAGCTGTGCTTCTCTGGCCTCTTCTCTGAAGTCAAACCCCTCCCATCTGACAGAGCTGGAGCTGAGTAGAAACAATCTGCAAGATTCAGGAGTGAAGCTGCTGTGTGGTTTTCTGGAGAGTCCACACTGTAGACTGGATACTCTGAGGTCAGACACCATTTTTTACATCTGTGCTGAGATTAATTTTATGTGAAAGTCGTGGTGACACTAAACTGCAGACAAAAGGCTGATATTATACTGATCCACACTGAGGATCTTAATGCTGAAGTCTATTTTCTTCTTCAGTTGTTTAGTCCATTGAGTGTTGCAGATCAATGTTGAGCTCACATTTAAAAGCTTAATGTAACAAGAAAAATCTACACTGGATAATTATCTCTGAACCTGTAAACCTCCTGATGTAAAGCTTATATTTCACATAATATTAATGTTCAAATAAAGTTTAAATAAAGTATATAAATACAATGACTACTTAAATGAATTTGAGCTAAACTTCTACTTTCTAAACTTTCTTCAGCACTGAAGATTATTAAACATTGAACAATTTCAAGCAGGAAAATTGTCTTCTACAGTTACGTCATTTATTCTTTATTCAGATTGGGTGAATGCAGGTTGACAGAGATCAGCTGTGCTTCTCTGGCCTCAGCTCTAAAGTCCAACCCCTCCCATCTGAGAGGGCTGGAGCTGGGTGGAAACAAGTTGCAGGATTCAGGAGTGAAGCTGCTTTGTGGTTTTCTGGAGAGTCCACACTGTAGACTGGAGACTCTGAGGTCAGACATCATTTTTTACTTCTGTGCTGAGATTCATTTTATGTGAAATTTATGGTGACACTTAACTGACACTGAGTATCTTAATACTAAAGTCTATTTTATTCTTCAGTGGTTTAGTCCGTTGACTGTGGCAGAGCAATGTTGAGCTCCACATTTAAAACCTTAATGTAACAAGAAAAATCTACACTGGATAATTCACTCTGAACCTGTTAACCTCCTGATTTATAGCTTATATTTCACATCATATTAATGTTCAAATAAAATTTAAATAAAGTACATAAATACAATAACTAAATGTATTTCAGCTAAACTTCTACCATCTAAACCTTCTTCAACACTGAACGATTTCAAACCGTAACATTGTCTTCTAAAGTTACATCATTTATTCTTTATTCAGATTGGATGAATGCAGGTTGTCAGAGATCAGCTGTGCTTCTCTGGCATCAGCTCTGGAGTCCAACCCTCCCATCTGAGAGCTGGAGCTGAGTGAAAACAACCTGCAGGACTCAGGAGTGAAGCTGCTGTCTGATCTTGTGGAGAGTCCACATTGTAGACTGGAGACTCTGAGGTCAGTAGAGAGTTGGAGTCAGTCTATGCTGGTTTCAGCTTTTCTCAGTGAAGCTGTGAGAGGAGAATGATGACAGGCTTTAATATTCTGCTCATGCATTTGACGTAACATGTAGATATTTACAGACTAATCTCAACACAGTAGGCTACGATACACAAAACTGCGTGGCCATGGTATAAACTTATTTCAAACAAAAGAAAATGATGTGTACATGATGTGTAAATCACAGAAAGACACCACCAAAGTCTGCTAACATAAGTTGCTCTAGGTAACATTAGCTAATATTTGCTAACAAACGTCAACGTTTACATGCTGTTGTTGTAGATGGTAATGTCATCACAGGTTTCATCAAATAAACATACGTTTATGGTAGCGACACAACAACAACATCCAGAACTATATGTATGGCTAAAATCGTTAATTTAAGAGTTTAAACTTTTTTCAATTGATTGCAACAAAGGTGCTTACAAATTTACTATTCGATTTTAACTCTCCATATCCTCCTTCTGCTTCTGCTGCTACAATCTTCTTCTTCTCCTCCTCAAATAATGGCGGATTGCAAAAAACTTTTAGGTGCATCAGTGTGGTACACCTGTGGCAATGGTATTCAGGCTCCAGGCTGCAGTCATACCCATCTCTTGTCCTGGTGTCTGCATTGTTATGCAATTTCACCACTAAAACGCTAATTGGTGGTAGCGCCATAGTGTCCACTGTGTTGACCTCTGCTGGAAACCTAAACCTAACCTAACTTCTGGTTTAGCCCTCTGCTAACTTGAATGGGGGTAAATTGATAATTGTGCGGCTCTTGTACACTTTTCAAATGTGATCCATGAATAGATCACATTCTGATGTGAAAGAAGTGGCTTTACGGGGGTTGTGACACTCAAAAATATTAATCTGGCCACTAGTAAAATTTAAGCTATGATGTGATGATGTGAAGACGACTGTTCATGTTTACAGGAAATAAAGCTGGATTCCGGCAGACAGCATTACAAGATGTATAGAGACAGTGGTCCTCTTTCATCAAACTGTCGTACCATCAAATCTGATCTCAAAGTGTTTGTTCTCTCATTTCAACACTAAACTATTTATCAGTTTGTCACAGCTCTGAGATCAGTCTGACTGAAGCCTGTAAACCACTGGTTCTTATTTCAGAGAACCAACATTACATTTAGTAACCATGTGGTCTTTTTACAGACCAGAACCTGAAGTCCAGTAATCACAGATGATGTTTAGCTGTTCAGTCTTTTTATGAACATGTAGGACCTTTAACATCATATATATATATATATATCTGTTTGTGTGTCTTTAGTTTTGTCCAAATACTTTTAGAACAGACTCCATATTTACATATTTGTCCTGTAATGTTTCAAAAGTAGATGAAACATTCAAAAGTGACTGAGACGCTGGTTTTTAACAGCTTTGAGCTCAAACAGCAGTAAATCCATCATTACAGTTAGCAGTGAATATCTCTCTGTCTCTGCAGTCATGATGCGTTCAGGGACTCTCAGCACTTTATTTCCACTGTGTACTGAGTGAAATCTGCATAGTAAACAGACTTGATGCCCAAAGTCTCTGCAGGTCATAGAGTGCTCACTCCAATACATTAACATGAGAGCTGAAAGGAAGCTGGCTACGCTACACAGCCGCTCCACTTCTGGTCTGAACAGGACTGAAGTCCCTGCTGATTTTTTTTACTGGATGTGCTGCATCACTGACTGACAGCTGATGAAGGGAGTCTCTGTAAACACTGATTTATGATTTCTGCTGTCTGTCTTCTTCTCTCAACAGGTGGAAGTGATCTCTGTCAGAGAGACAGATGATGTCTGGATTCTGGAGGAAAGTTACCATCTAATATTTAATTTTGTATATTGTTAATTTAAAAAAAAGTGGTAATTGTTAGGCAAAACACATTGTTTGTTACACGCTTTCTATAATTCATTGCTTAATATACTTCACCTGTAGTACAAATCTGCATGGCTACTTTAAGACATAATTTAATATTGTAAGTATAATATATACTGTAGATTTGAATAGTGTGGTATCACAAAATGTATTTCTTAATACATATTTTGTCACGTGTGTGTACATAACTGAATCAAGAAGTAAACATGTATATGTCTTAAGTGATGTTTAAAACACAAGTAAGAAAGTCTGAACAACCTGAAGTCTCAGCATGTTTCAGCCTCTTTTCTCATCATACTCTGATTACTGTGTGAACTGTGTTACAACATTATTGATCATTATCTCTGTTACAGTTAATTACATTTTCATTAGACTCTGAGCCTAAGACAAAGCTGGAAAACCGTTCTCGACTCTGACTCCTTCACAGAGAAATATTTACTGTATTTCACGATTAAAGTCAACTGAATAAAACTTCATAGGAATCATGTTGTATTTTCAAAATGAAGGGGTATTAGTTTCCAATGAGTGCTCGCTCAGTCTGCAAGTGTAACACTGCCATTTACCAGAAGTGTAAATTTGCTTACTTTGCTTTTAAAATACTTGTGCTGTCGTCCTTAAAGGAATAACACGCCTTACGTTTTAGGCTGAGTTGCTTGCTAAATTAGCCAACTACTAAGCTGTGTGTGGGGCGGAACAAGTGTTTTTATAGATCTAGCATCATTGCCGAGGATGAGTGTTCAAGAACAGCCCAGTGACCATGCTGTTTACAGGGGCGGTTTGTTCATTAGAGCGATCGGGCGACACACCACCAAGCCGGTAAAGGCAGAGGATTTTTCTCACACTTTCTACCACACTGTTAGTAAGCTGTGGCTGTTTTGACAGACAGTCTGTCTTTGAAAATCGTTGTCCAGTCAGCGTCAAGTCGTGTTCCGTGGAATCCGCCCCTTTTGGGCCGATTTGTCTGGTTGAAAATCGCCCAGATCGCTCTCATTGACTTTCATGTTAAGGCAGTTTTTTTTGGAACTGCGGGCACTGAAATGCAATGTCTATGGGTTTCAGTTGGGCTCGCACTTACGTGTTTACGTCATGCGCCCTGTAGCAGAGCTACGCTTCTGCCACCTGAAAACAACTCCGCAGTCCGCCAGCTTGTTGCACTCACTACGATCAGCTGCTGTTTTAACAAAACGTATGTTCAGGCTGAAAATTCAACAGTGGTGTTGTGTCGGGAGATACAGCGACTTTACCAGTGGTGAGAAAGATATACTATAAATATGTTATTTGTTAAGCTATGGGGAGCGAGAAAGTCTGCTAGCCACTTGGCTAATTTATCCAATTTAAAATGTCATAGGCTAAGCTAATAATTGTGAACATAAAAAAAATCTTGACAGCCAAATTTTATGCATATATTAGATGTGATTGTTAATAAGCCATGTTTAATGTGTGGTGGTGGAGTCGATTTAAAGTTAACTTTGCTGCACTTAACCAGTAACAATTATTTTATGTGTTGATTTTTTCCTTTTGTTGCCAAAAACCACAGAAGAGGAGGTAGCATGATGGGGCTTCTTTGTCAGAGGAGGATAAAAAGAAGGAGAGCAACACAGAAAATAACCCAAAACAATAGAAACACCTTTTTATATTTTCCCTTACGTGCCTTCTTGTTTATGTGTAAATACAGAGTGAGAAAGGGAGAACAGCACATAGCTTGTTGTTACTATGTGATTATAGAGCAGGCCTATAGGAGAACAATGGATACTGTTATACAGCCCACACCCCTAATAATACTGGGTAACTACAGGATGACAAGTGGAGAACACTGAAGATTTTTTACAACTCTCTACTCACCTTATTAATCTTGTGTAATGTGTGTTGAAAATAAATACTAGGTTCATCTCTAGCCCATAAAACATTTAAGCCTGGCTATATTTGATTATTGTATTAGTTGAGGCTGAGGGCTTGTTTTCTACTCCAGCCTGTCCCTTAGCTGCAGTGCAGGATGAACTGTAAATAGTTTTATTAATTGTACTTTATCAGCCCCAGTGCCACTGTGCTTTATTCTGGATTTCTTGTACCCTAAATAAATAATAAATAATAAATAAAAGGTTTGTCACAGCATTCATTGTAGACATTGATAATGAACTTCAGGATGTAGTTGTCCACAAATACTGTACAGCATGTGGCCTAAGGAACTATCCTTAGGCCCCTTCCACACTACTCCGTTTTAATTTACAAACGGAGAATTAAAACAAATACGATCTCAGTCCACACCAGCGTTTTAGCTGCGTTTTGGAGTTGATCTCCTTCTACATTACGACTGAAAACGCACAGCTTGTGACCGTTGATGTACACATGAAGCAGTTGGTCTCTTCCGTAGTTACAGAAGATTTGGCGAAAGAATAAAGTAAAGCAGACAAAGAATCAGATCAAATTTTTTTTGCATGGACCAATAACAAGCTGGGAATGTTTCTGAATGTAACAGGGGAGTGAGGCAGCGGAAAACAAACTGGGAGTCATTGCAAAATAAACGGCGACATGCACAGTACAAGTGTTATTTGCACGGTACAGAATATTTTAATAAAAATACTAGGACAAAAACCTGATCAGTAGCATCGTGTTTCTGCTTTGCATGACCTATACGACCCAATCAGAGAGCCGAGCGTGAGCGGCTGTGTCATTCTTTCCAAAGTCCTCTGTTTTGGCCCGTTTTCACTAAAATGCCCTCCAGAGTTTTGAAATGCAAAACGGGGTCGGCAGCGTTTCCAGACTTCTCTGTTTTATGTCTTTGTTATTGCCGTTTTAGTCTGGACGGGAGGTGCAAACGTAGCAAAAGGTCTCCGTTTGAATTTGAAAATGCAGCAGTGTGGATGGGGCCTAAGTGGGAAATAGAGAAGTAGTTGTTATTGTCTCTTTTAAGTAAATATGTTGTAATCTTCACGAGAAATAATAATGTAATGAAAATAAAGTCTAATACAGTGAATTTTTACAAGGAAGTCGTAATATTTCAAGATTGTCCATGTGTCTTTTGTTTTGTCCAAATGTTTTTAGAACAGACTCCATATTTACATATTTGTCCTGTAATATTTCAGAAGTAAATCAAATATTCAAATGTGACTGAGATGCTGGTTTTTAACAGCTTTGAGCCCTAACAGCAGTAAATCCATCCTTACAGTGAGCAGTGAATATCTCTCTGTCTCTGCAGTCATGATGCGTTCAGGGACTCTCAGTACTTTATTTCCACTGTGTACTTGAGTGAACTCTGCAGAGTAAACAGACTTTATGCCCAATGTCTCTGCAGGTCTCAGTGTGTTCACTCCAATACGTTAACATGAGAGCTGAAAGGAAGCTGGCTACGAAACACAGCCGCTCCACTTCTGGTCTGAACAGGACTGAAGTCCCTGCTGGTCTTTATACTGGATGTGCTGAATCATTGACTGACAGCTGATGAAGGGAGTCTCTGTAAACTCTGATTTACATTTACATTTATTCATTTAGCTGACGAAGCAACTTACAATTGCTATACCACCCCTGATTTATGACTTCTGCTGTTTGTTTTCTTCTCTCATCAGATGGAAGTGATCTCTGTCAGAGAGTGAGTGATGAGAAAGGTGGTGGTGTTGAGAGAGGATCAGCTGTGTCCTGATGATCCAGAGAGGTTGAAGCAGCAGCATCAGCTTGTGTGTGGAGAGGCTCTGACTGGGCCATGTTACTGGGAGGTAGAGTGGAGAGGAGAGCTTCATCCAGCAGTGACTGACAGAGGAATCACAACAGTGCTGCAGTCTGAACTGCTCTGAGATCACAAAGTCAAGTCCACCATCATCCCTGTTTGTTCCTCTGGATGTGACAGAGTATCATCAGTGTATCTGGACTGCTCTGCTGCTGCTCTGTCCTTCTACATAGTCTCTGCAGACACACACACCTTTTTATTGATATAGTCTTTCTATGACATCCTTATGACATTTACTTCTATTTTAGGAAAAATCAAGTTTCGCTTATTCAAAAAAGTATTGCCGGTTAAGTATAAAGGCCAGTGATAAATATTTTGTCCGGTGCAGTGGTCAGTTTTAGGAGGGAATATGGTTGGTTATTACTCACACATTATTCCAGGAACCATTAGTTTAGGTTTCCTTTGGGTTAGACGACACTTCTTTCAAGAACTTTATTCCACAGAAAGTGGGACAGGTAAAGTAGACTATTTAATGACTTTTAAGGCTTAACATTTATTAAATTTAAGACTTTAACAGAATTAAATTTAACAATTTAACAACTGCAGCAACAAGACAGAATGTTTCAGCTACACATTTTGATGTTTCACAAAGTTTTATAAGTTCAGACATTCTCATGAAGGACAGCAGTGAAAAAGTTTAGTCTATTTAAAAATTCCTGAGGAGTTTATTTTCGTTGTTAGCTACCACGCTAGCCAGCCAAAGCTAGCTTCCTTATATTAGTCTCACAGCTAATGCTAACATCAAAGGCTTTCAGCGGCCACTAGCGGTGCTGTTTTAGGATTGCAACCAGGTGTGTGCTCGTATGCTTGCTCTGCTCGTACTCATAAACGACATGTGGCTTTTCACACAGGCATGCTCTAAGTGAATGTTCAAGTCACCGAGGATGAGTAACGGACAGCCACACTCTGGGACAGAAAACAGCAGTGTGTCTAGCTCGTCCACAAGGTTACCGATTTGTCCTGGGGACGGTATGACAATCACAGAGACTTTTACCGGAGCGGACACAATGACAGCATGATATTCGAAGGAGGCATATTTATTTGGGACACCTCCCACTGTCTGGGAGGCGGGAGAAAGAGCAGTTGGTGGAAAGCGCAATGCAATTGAATAAAAGCTGCAACTAATGATTATTTTCATAATCGTATAGTCTGCCAATTATATTTTTGTCTGCTCATCTCCACTTCTCCGACGACCAAGACCGATGTGACATCATCATTTAGTTGACCGTTTAGAATCTCCCACCTTAGGAATTTTGAAAACTGTATAAGTAGTATTTTAAAACTGATTATAATGTGTGAGGGACTGGATTATTTATCCCAAAGCTAAACTTGAATGATGTATTCTTATATATGAGAGTCAGAACGAGAACAAAAACTGAAATGAGATGAGTGTAAATGTTTATTCAAACCACGCTAATCAAATCAAAATTGTAACATACTGATGTAGTTATTCATTTCACATTTAAGAAAACACACCCACACAGCTGTGTACCTGGAAAAGTTGTCACACAAATATAATGAAGAAGCGACAAGCAGAATGTTGAGAATGTGCAGCGCAAATGCGCTACTGTGCTCTGCAATCAAATACGATTTTAAATAGGCCTAGTAAAAAAAAAAAAATCCATCTGTGGCGGTCAGCATTGATATTGACACCACAAATAACTGAACGTATGGGAAACACTGGAGAGTATTGTGACTGTGTTGTGTGTCACAGCAGGCGTGGGTTTTCCTCTCTGTAGTCGTATGTGTCTCCTTTAAAGGGCAGATGTGGAGGGTGGTTACAGATTCCCATCAAGAAGATGATGATGGTGCCGATGGTCATCACTGGGGTAACCAGGAAGAGGCAGAGACGGTCCACCGTACGAGCGATACCACTCCAGTTATCTTTCTCCTGTGAATGGAGCGGCAGGGTTAAAGCTTCTCTTGTAATTTACATGCTTGATTTACATATATGGCCAAATGTTTTGCGTCTCCACTCTTCTGGTTTCAGTCTGCCAAAGTTGTCATCAACACCTACTAGGGCTGGACGATATGGCCAAAAATGTTATCACGATAAAAAAAAGGTTTCAAATCTCTCGATATCAACAATTATCACGATAGGTATCAAATCCTTTTTTTGAAGTTTAAATGCAGATTTTTGCTCCTGAGTGAAAGTTGAAGAAACCTGGTTATTTGTGGTTTAAACTCTTCTTTATGGTCAGAACAAACACTTCATGCAAAACAGTGGATCACTTCACAGATCTGAGGTAGAACATTCAAAACAAATATACATGCGTAAATTATTATTTAAAAAATGAAGTCCTAATTCGTGTATGATTCAAGTTAATAAACATTTATTGAACATTTGTTATATTGTTATTGGAAAAAAATTAATTGCGATAAGTATTGTTTCATTATCCAGCCATAACACATATTGTTCTAAGCAACACATGATCCTGGGTTTTCTCTCCATCTCACCTCGTTGTAGTCGTTCTTGTTGCGCATGTGTTTGATGATGTAGTTTGCTCCGTCCACAGCCGGCTTAATCTCTGCATACAGCTGGTCCGTCACACCTCCATCTTCCTGTGGCTTCACAACTACACAACAACACAAAGTAGTTTAATGAAGCTGTGATAATGTCTCAGTTGTAGCGAATGATGGGATGAGCTCAATGTGGCCTTACAGTTATGTCCCACAGGAGACCAGGGCAAGTATTTATCAAGCTTTTCAAAGTGCAATTTTAGTCTTAAGTCCTGAGAATTCATGAAATTAACTCCTACTTTTAAACTTAAGAACAAAAGCAAGTTCTCAAATTTCATAATGCTAAGAATCACTCTTACTCTCCCAGTTATTAAAGACAGCTTGAGAGGTCTCTCAAGTGGTTAGGAGTTGCCAGTAGGGCTTGTGATGGCGCTGTGGAGACAGAGACACGCACGAATCTTCCAGGAGAGGAATATTGTTTATGAATTATTTGAGGACACGCAGTTAATAAGACGGGGTCGGACAGCTCAGGCATAATCCTTGTCAGCGAGTTGGTGAGGGACGTCATCTCACCACTGACTTTACGCAGTAATGCCTTTTCAGTTAAATTGAACGTGGTGATGACACTTTGTTTCTTTGCGTCAGGACAAATGCAGCAATGCTGATGATTTTGGCTCGTCACCACCATCAAAAAGCCGAATAGTCATGGAAACAATTATGGCACTTATGCAGCTTCACACATTGTCACGCGTTTCATCGACTTCCCAACAACACACCCCCCGTAATCCGACAGAAGCAAACACAGTTCATGCAAATAGCTGGCTTCCCAGGAGTAGTAGGTGCAATTGATGGTGCTCATATAAAGATTCACTTTTTTATCTTTCTTAATAATAATCTTCATGTATAAACCACTTTCCAAAAACAAGTTACAAAGTGCTTTAACAAGTGCAAAGACAATAAAACAAATACACAATAATAAGCAAGAAAACACTTAAGAAACTAAGAGACACATTTAAAGTAAATATAAAATATATAAAATAGAATAAAATAATAAAATAAAATGGGGAAAGGCTCTCAGGATAATAATGACAACAAACGTCAGCAAACAATGATTTAAATTACATAAATACAGAACAAATTAAAATAAAATAAAATGGGAGAAGAAGATGTATGAAATCCTGAGTAGGCTAATGCATTCAGCATACTAACTACATTTGGCAAGAAGGACTTGCTGTACACATCTTTGGCTTTACAGAGCTTTACAGTAAGTTTCAGGTCATTGTTTATCTGTCTGTTAACTTAACTTTACTGTTCTGGTTCACTCCCAGCCCACTAAGAAGCGTTGTTTTCAGTGTAATAGCTGTAAAAAACACGACCTGCTTGACAGCAAACAGCAGACAGACACAGTCAGAGACTAACTGGTGAACATAGTGGAACATTTAGCAGCTAAAGAGACAGATATTTCCCTCAGGAACTGGTGGAGACCAAACACAGAGCCAAAAGAGAGACTAATAGGACACACATACATCATTCAAACACGATTCTAAATGAATGATTGTGTTGCTCAGTAACTGCTGGATGTGAAAATAAGCAACTGTTTGCCAACAAGTTCAACAAATCAACTTTAAAGGTGATGTTTCCCAATGTCTTTCCGCTCTCCTTTTTACTGCAGGTATATTTATTGATTTTATTGGACGTACCTGATGCGTGTGTGGTTCGCGTCATCAGTCCGTGTCTCTCCGACTGTTTCTCGAACATCAGCTCGCTGCGGGACTTGACGCTGTAGTACTCCTCTGCCGAGGTGATGTAGCCCACTGAGCTGGATCGCCGTGGCAACGCTCCATCCCAGTATGGCTCCGCCTCTTCAGGGCGGGACATACGCAGGATGCGCGGCAACCGCTCAAGGAAGAACTACACAGAGAGAACAAATTACAGCAGCATGCTTAAAGTCATAACGTTCATTTTTAGCACGTTTTTAAAAATAGCTTGAACACCACATAGTACAGACTGTGTGTGCATAAGGATGTGTGTGTATTGTGTGTTATGATGAGTGTGTGTGTTACCCTCTTGGTCCAGTCAGACATGACGTGTGTGCTCGGTGTCCTGAAGTGCAGGTTGAGGACAACCACACAGTTCAACACCACCACCGTCACCAGCACCATGATGAACATCAAATATCTGAGACACACACACAGACGAATATATTTATCATTTATATTTTGTTGAGCAACTCAAGAGAGTTTCTTGTGTTTTGGTTCATTTATTGCTGAAACTTGAAAATATGAACAAAAAAAATAAAACTCCACATCAAGGTAAAAGCAGCAAATCCCCCAATATCCCTATTTTTATGTTAATTTTGTTACATATTTCAGTTTGTCACTCCTGTTCTGGAACAAGACATTTGATCCACACTGATCAAACCTTTATTGTATTTCATCAGAGCTAAGTGCTGAATAAATATTTGTAAACACAAAAAGATATTTCATCTGCAGGTAACTCACAGGTTGCTACAACTCCAGGAATAATAAATGGTTTTCCACCAAAACACCAGATGTTTGTTATTTATTTGTGTACCAGACCTCCCTGATGTTCCCAGATGTGGTCGGAAAGAGTGTGTGTTTCTTACTTGACAATAAGTGGAACAGACATGGACGTCTCCGGCAGCCTTTGAGAGATCAGCAGCAGGAAGACAGACTGAGCCAGCAGCACTGAGATGGACAAGGTCATCTTCTCACCACCTACACACACACACACATAAATACATACACACACCAATAAAACTAGTTTCAGAGACCAGTTTGTGCAGGTGAGCTCTGTGTGCGTTGTTGTGCTTGTTTTCAACATTTCTTCAGTCGAGAAGTCCAGTTCACAAAAGCTGCACTCAGGTCAAATCAGCAGTCAAAACAGAAGATCTTTTAAGATTTAAATTCCTGTCACTGATACATCTGATAAAAATTATACATTAACGAGACAAAAAGAAATGTTATGATAATAACAACGGACGCTATGTGAACAGTGGCAGATGCAATTTACAGTAAATGTGTAAAAATATCTGTGATGAAAGTACATTTACTCAAGCACTGTACCTTTCATACTACTACTTTATACACCAATACATTTTGGAGGCCAATATTTTATTTTTTTACTTCAGTACATTTATTTGATGACTTTAGTTGCTTTGCTGATTCTGATTATTAACACATATAATTTTATCAAGATTAAAGTCAAGTGCACATTAATGAGACAATTATTATCCAATTATATAATACATATGGTTCAGAAATGGGCCATTCTACATAATGAGTACTTTTACTTTTGGTAGTTTAAGTATATTTTGATAGTTAGGTAGGAAGGTTTACAGTCAAAATATAACATGTTATAGAGTGAAATTGAGTTGATTTCTAACATTTCTGTACTATTACTCACTGTTACAAGTACTGTGGTATCAAAAGATCTGAGTGCTTCTTCCACCACTGGATAATGTGAATGCAAAGTTAATCAAATTTAACATTACATATAAACTTGAGAAGTGTTAAACATGCAATTCCTTCAGAATACGCTCATTAGCATTTTAAGGAGAATGTGAATGTGTACTGACTGTCAGCAGGCAGGTAGTAGACCAGCGAGGCCAGGAAGGAGATGAGAACGCAGGGAATGATGATGTTGACGATGTAGAAGAGAGGTTTGCGTTTGATGATCAGGTAGAAGGTGATGTCCTGATGCTTGTTGCTCTCCATGGGAATGTGCTTGTAGGTGTTTCTCTTGGCCGGACGGTGGATGATCTCCCACTCGCCGTTCTCTGTCGAATCCAGTGAAAAACAACGCAGAGGACAAAGAACAGAGAGAGAATAATAGATTATTAAGCTGCAGCCAGGACTAGTTAATTTTGGAAATTGGGAGATGACAACAT